TTAATGAACACTTTTATGTTTTCAACTACAGGCATATCTGTGTACCTTTGGGTTTTGGATTTTTACCCATTAGATGAACCATACATATGCTTCTCAGTGGGAGGTATGCTCTGGGTGACAGCTGGTATAGTAGGAACTTATTTTTTACAATTTGTTTTAATAATAATAGTTTCTTCTGCCTCCCACCCCAATATCCCACAGAATTTGAGTAGAGAACAGAGACTGTTGATTCTTTTTTTTTTTTTTTTTTGAGTTGGAGTCTCACTCTGTCGCTCAGACTGGAGTGCAGTGGCCGTTCCCGGCCACCGCAGCCTCGCCTCGCTGGGCTCCGGCGATCCTTCTGCCTCAGCATTCCAAGTAGCTGGAACTACAGGTGCCCGCTACCACGCCTGGCTAATTTTTTGATTTATTGTATAGATGAGGTCTCGCCAAGTTGCCCAGGCAGGTCTCCAACAATCCGCTCACCTCGGCAATCAGCTCACCTCGGCCTCCCAAGCGCTGGGATTACAGGCTGAGCCACCGAGCCCGGCCGAGACTGTTGATTCTTATCATCCTACAATTGATTGCAGTATCTGGCATAAAATTGGTGTTCCAAAAAATGTATGAACTGAGCTCTTCCTCCCAACAGGATGGGTTTCTTGGGAGTAAGGATCAAAGCAAGGGGAGGAGAGGACAGGGCATATACTTCTGAGCAGGACCTGGATGGGGAAGGGTGCTGGAGGGAGGTAGGGGTGAGAAACTCCAGCAGTTTCCATTAGAACAGGTGAACTGGTGAGGGTAAATGGGGCATAAAGACAGGAGTTCATAGACTTAAAAAGTGCTCTCCTGGCTGGGTGCGGTGGCTCAAGCCTGTAATCCTAGCACTTTGGGAGACTGAGGTGAGAGGATTGCCTGAGCCCAGGGGTTCAAGACCAGACTGGGCAACTTGGTGAGACCTTGTCTCTACAGTAAATTAAAAAAAATTAGCCGAGTGTGGTGGTGCATGCCTATGATTCCAGCTACTTGGAAGACTGAGGTGTAAGGGTTACTTGAGCCCAGGAGGTTGATGCTGCGGTGGCTGTGAGCCTGCCACTGTACTCCAGCCTGCCACTGTACTCCGACAGAGTGAGACTCCAACTCAAAAACAAAAAAGCAGAAAAACCCTGCTCTCCTGTGAGGACTCAGAGAGATTGAGTGTGCGTTTATATGAGTTTTCTGCACAGTTTTTGCTGTGGGGAAAAATTGCTTTGAGGGTTGGTGATTTTTAAGTAGTAGTCCAAAACAAGGATATGACTTTTATCTTTTTTCACTAGTGGGATGGGGATGAGTTCTAGTAGAGCCTTTCTCTATTCGTATGTTGATAACAATATATAGTATATTCCCTACATACGAATCTTCAAGTTGCGAACTTTCAAAGATGTGAACATGTGCTCACATGTCCAATTGTGTCCATTTTGCCCTGTCTCCTATTGCTGACGACGATCCTTCAGCTCTGCCATCTCCCACCTCTTTCTCCCTCTTCCAGTCAGTAACTCTTTTTGCCTGTTCACTTGATGCCAGCTCCTGTATACCAGCTGATGTACTGTAGTGTACTATTGTACTTCTCAAGGTACTGTACTGTAAGATCAAACATGTTATCTTTGTTTTTTGTTTGTTTTTTTATGTATTATTTATGTGAAAAGTATTATAAACTGATTACAGTACAGTAATATATAGGTGATTTTGTTAGTTGGGCACCTAGGCTAACTTTGTGCTTACAAACAAATTGGACTTATGAATGGTGTTTGTATGTAGGGAACTTACTGTACTCATATTCTTCCTATCCTGTGACTTTTTTTGTACCTATAGAAAAAAGCCCAGACACTTTATTTTGCCCTGGGTCTTCCTACTTCTTGAACTTTATCTTGTACCACTTTTTTTTCCTAACTAACTGTCAGTCTTAATGATTTCCTTAAGTTTGTTTCTAACCCTGAGGCCTTTTTTGGTAGTTGCTTTTCCTGTCTAGAGCTTTGCCCTCAGATCTTTGCATGGCTGGATCACTTGCCATTTCTGTCACTTCAGAGAATCCTTCCTTGAACACCCAGTATAAAGTAACACTCAGTTGCAGTCAGTCTTTAACATTATTTTATTTTCTTCATATCACTACCTCTTTTCTTTTTACAGATCTTTCTTGTGCTAGAATATAAGCTGTGTGAAACAAGGGATCGTATTTTGTTCACTGCTATCTTTTCAGCACCTGTAATGATGCCTGACATACAGCAGGCTTTCAGCAATTTCATTGAGTAAATCAGTTAATTAGGGGACTTGGAGACCAAAGAATAGATAAAAGTACGGGGTGGGTGGGAGGGACACAGAAAAAGAAGCATATGTCATGTATCCAGTTGTGCTTCCAGCACTAAAGAGATACTGTAGATGTTCGTTTTGTCACTCAAGGACGGCTGTATTATATACTAAATAAGACTGGTGGTTTTGATGTTCAAGTCCAAGCACCGCTACTTACCAGACTAGACTGTGGTCTTTGCAAGGTGAAGTCTTTAATGCTTTAGTTTTCTCCCTAAAGCATGGGGATAATAGTATTTACCATAAGATTCTTGATAGGAATAAATACATGAATGAATACTTAGCACAATGCTGGGCATATAATATATGCTTAGATATTTAATTTTTAAAACTTTATTTTAGTGACTGGTCTTGTATTACTTGGGAGAGAATGAATAAATTCCTGCTCTTCATACCCTGGGCATTTAGTTCCCTTGTGAGAACAGTTCAACTGCAAGTCATTGTTGGTCTACCCTCCATTTTATAGGAATGTATAATTGAAACTACTGTTATGTTCTGTCATCCACTGCATTAGCAGTTGAGCTCGACTTTCAGATGTTCTCCATTTTTGGCTAAAGTGGTGCTTCTTAAACGTTGGCAATTAAAAGACTTAGCTAAAGACCTTATTAAAGCACAGATTTCCCCCCAGTATTCTGCTACCTCCACTTCCTCTCCTTATTCTCATTTGGTAGGTTTGAATAGAGGATTGAGAGTTTGTATTGTTTTGAGGGTCCCAGGTGATATTAGACCAGACATTATGTAGGGCTTTTCTAGAGTTGTGCTAATATGTTAGCCACTAGCCACATGGGGCTGTTTGAGTGCTTGAAATGTGGTTATTAGTTTGAAATGAGATCTGTTTAAATTAAAATATACACAGAATTTTGAAGATTAGTGTTGCATGTAAAATATCTCAATATCAATATTTAAGAAATACTAATTATATATTGAAATGATAACATTTAGATATATTGAGTTAAACATGATATACTGTTAAAATTAATTTCACATGCTTTTTACTACTTAATGTGGCTATTAGAAAATATAAAATTGTGTACATGGTTTGCTTTTGTGGTTTGAATAGTATTTCTACTAGACAGGAAAACATACTGCCTATCACTTTAAAGTATCTGCCTGGACCTCCATAAAGTGAATTGCTCTTATATAGCCTGCTTTGAAGACATTTATTACCATCAAGTCCTCTAAATTGAGTGACGATTCATTCACTTATTTTCAAGTAGTGATGAATACAGAAAATTTATATTGTTTAAGGAATTTCCAATTAATGAGGAAGACTATATTTACAAGGCCCTCTAGTCAGTTCTAAAATATAGATAAGAGCAGAGTACTAATTTAAAATCTTAATTGGACTCTATTGCTAGTTGGTAGTATATTTCAAATTCCATTAATTAGCCCCTTCTTAAGATGGGGCAAATAAATTTTTGTGATTTGGATTAGCACTGCTTTACTTAATAGGCTTTAAAATGGCTAATAGTACTTAAAAGTTGTAATATTTTAGGTCAGGTTTCTTGTTGAATCTACTTGTGTGATCTCTTTGTCACTGCGATTTAATTATAATTCTTAACAAAGGAAGTCATTTGCTTTGGCTATATTCTTAATGACTTTCAGACTTCTATTGTCTGAAATGTTCTTCAGTTTTAGATGTAGCTACTATTATAAAACTAATTCCCAATCACCTCTGCAATGAGAACCTAGAGCAATTTTCAACTTTCAATTTCAGTCTTACATATTTTGTACATGTGTATTGTGAACAGCTATACATATGTGATAAGTACACAGCTGTACACAATTTTGGCGATGATTAGAAACAGAATCCTAGAGAATTCAATAAATTGTTCACGTGTTTGTAGAATGGCTTCAAATATGTGATATAGGATTACATGAACCAACCCTTAAGATTCTCTAACTTAAAGGTTTTTTTGTTTGTTTGTTTAATGGTTCAGTTTTTTTTCTGTTGTAGCATTTCGTGGGTATGCATTATCTTTTATTGTTGGACATGTAACACTGGTGGCACATAAGATGATATTAGGAATTACTTAGCAATGAGTAAAAGCTATTAGTTTTCAGTTCTTTTTTCTTCCTTCTGATCTTGTCAAGGATAAAGTTGGATGCTAGTATGTGGTTAATACTTTCATAACCCTTATTCTCCTTTTTAAAAACAAATATAGACCGCATTATAGTTACTCTTGGGGCACACATGGAATTTAACCAGAATTTAGAAACTTTGGATTTTGTGTATGTGTGTATAGCTCCCCATGCCCCAGTTTACTATTACCTTCTATTTATGGGACTATGGAGGGCAGTTTCTTTTTAAAAACATTAAATTTAATTACATTTAATTATTTATTTTTAGAGACAGAGTCTCACTTTGTTGCCCAGGCTGTAGTGCAGAGGCACAATCACGGCTCACCACTACCTCAGACTTCTGGGTTCAGGTGGTCCTTCTGGGAAGGAAGGCAGTTTCTTTTAGAAATTGATTTAAGCAAAAGTGATTTGAACTCTGGGGGTTTTAAGTAAGATTATGGGTGTTACACAGAAATCAGTCTGAAACATGGAGTAGGTGAATGATTGACGTACTATAGGAGTAATTTAGAACATGAAAGCTTTTTCTTCTTTTATGTTACCATTAATTTTTTATTACTTATAATGTACATTCAAGTATGTTAACTTGTTATCATTGCCAGGTTTCCATGGATCTCAATAGTGCCAGCACTGTTGTTCTTCAGGTCTTAACACAGGCCACCAGTCAGGATACTGCTGTGTTAAAACCAGCAGAGGAGCAGTTGAAACAGTGGGAGACACAGCCAGGTTTCTATTCAGTGTTGCTGGTAAGTTGTTCTGAAATAGTTTGCCTTTATTTTTAATAAGACGAGATGCCATTGTTTTAATTGTTCTAAAAACCAAATTTTATTGGTGGTTTACTTTATCTTTTATTTTATTATTATGTTTTTGAGTTGGGTCTTGCTCTGTTGCCCAAGCTGGAGTGCAGTGGCATGATCACAGATCACCACAGCCTCAACCTTCTAGGCTCAGGTGATTCTTCCACCTCAGTCTCCCGAGTATCTGAGACTACAGGTGCATGCCACCATGCCTGACTAATTTTTTCAATTTTTTTTCAGAGATGGGAATCTTGCTGTGTTGTCCAGGCTGGTCTTGAACTCCTGGCCTCAAATGATCCTCCCACCTTGGCCTCCCAAAGTGCTGAGATTACAGGCATGAGCTACTGTGTCCAGGCTGGTGGCTTACTTTAGTGAAAGTGATCTGAATGTTGGACTGCTGTCGCCCTGCTGCTATCTTATTAATTTAGCATATGGCTTCTTGAGTGTGTTCAAGAAATATTTGCTGATGAATATGTAAATAATCAAGCAGTGTATTTCTAGTATCTGCTCAGAAGGCAACGCCGTGATGATTTTCAGTTGTGGCATGTTAATGCTCACATCAGGACTAGGTAGTACACTTTCATATTTTCTGTTTATCTCATCCTCAATTGATGTATGTTGTCATAGTTGTTCAGGTGTCTACACTGTAGCATTAGATTCAGGTGTACTGTGTTCAGTGTATTTTACTTTAAAACATTTTCTTTTTTCATCTAAACATTTTATTTTCTTGACACATCTGATCTTTACTTAAGTGTTATGGGAAATATATAATAACTTAATTGACAATATGTGTTTTAACCAGATCTTACTTGGAATTTAAAGTTTTTGTCTAATTAAAATTATTTTCTCAATGCCAGAATGAAAGAAGTCTTTCTGTGTTAAGGGTCTTCTCTATTTGTTTCTTCTGAGAAATTGGGAACTCTGAGGTTTAGCTTTTGGTCAGGGCAGTGAGGCTCCTGATTAAGTAAAAAATGGACCCGGTATTTGTGACTGGTTCACAAATTCAGAGTAAAATTGCTTCTCATAGCTTGTAAAATAAAATAAATGATAGCAACTGACATACATATTTTAACTTCTTGACTAAAAATTTTGAGTAGTTTCTTAAATTTAAGAAGATGCTAGTCATGTAAGGGAAATTAAGTGTTTAGGATCTTGCTTGTTATTCTGAATGTAGCATAAAATTGAGTGTTGGGCTTAATAACAAAAGGTAAAAAAGATTGATTTTTAAAGACATGCACAAAGAAATCTTATTCTTCACATAATCCCAGCATTATGTTTGTAAACTTTAGGTATAGTATACATCTTTAGACAATCTCTGAGTATCTTGACTCTCCATATGCTTATTTAAATAAATATGCTCTAAAATTAGCCTTGTGCTTATTTAAATAAATACGCTCTAAAATTAGCCTTGTGCTTTTTCAGACCAAAATATACCTTATTTTGGTTTCTGCTTAATCTTAAAAACCAGTAGGCATTGCTTAACTGTATGAGTTATTAATTGTATGAGTTAATAATAGAGTGCCAGCCGGGCTCGGTGGCTCAGCCTATAATCCCGTGCCTTTGGGAGGCTGAGGTGAGTGGATTGCCTGAGCCTGCGGCTTCTAGACCCGCCTGGGCAACTTGGCGAGACCTCATCTCTACAATAAATCAAAAATCAGCCAGGCGTGATAGTGTGCGCCTGTAATTCCGGCTACTCGGAAGACTGAGGCGGAGAGATCGCCAGATCCCAGCAGGTCGAGGCTGCGGTGGCTGGGAGTTGGCCACTGCACTCCAGTCTGGGCGACAGAGTGAGACTCCAACTCAAAAAAAGAAAAAAAAAAAAATAGAGTGCCTAGGTCTTTTTATTTATTTTTTTTTACTAGCTATAATTTTCTTCTTAGAGGAATATAACAATTTTTAGATGTAATAGATTATAATAGAATAAAAAGCTGCTGTGTGTTCATTTTTCCCTGTGCTCGCTATCTTGGCACATTGGATCTAGGTTTGCATAGCTGTCCATTCTAGTCAGGAGGCTCCTATGTCTGTATACCTGATGTCAGGCTTGTGTTCCGGTCCTATTAGTTAAAGTATTTATAGAATTTTTCTACTTGAGTTGACAAGTGTAGCTGAGATAGGCTGAGAGAGACCCACCAGCTTCCACAGTATTTCCACATCACTTCCATTCATTCACTCATTTGCTCAATAGAAAATTAAGAAATTTTTGCTATGTCAGACGCATAAAGTGTCAGAACCAAATGTGATTAATGTGAAAGAAGTGCATCTGTTATAATGGAGACCCCAAAGGGACTCTGACTCAGTTACCAGGAGTCTAAAAGAATAAAAGGGAGTTATACAGCTACCTTTTCTTTTCTAAAAAATACTAAACGTATATACATTTTTCTGTAGCAAAGAACATACTTCCGTTTTTGGCTTTTGGGGTTTTCTTACACAAGGTTATGTTTAAGAGGTCGTCTCTGAGAATCTCAGTGGTTTTTGCTCTGAGATGTAGTGTAATTGCAGTCAGTATTTACTGAGTACCTAACACATTCCTACATTTGTTCTATGTACCAACTGTGTTCTATGTTCTAGGTAATTTTTTAATGCAGAAATATAAAACACTTCAATTTTCAATATTTATAATGTTTTAAATTACCGTGAAAATACTAGTTTTGCTATTCTTTCCTTTTCCTTGTACATTTAGAACTGGCAGGTCATTGTAATGTTTGACTAAAATATTTAAAGGCCATGGAACAATTGTAATTTTCCCTTTGAAAATTATTATGATCATGTTGCATGGTTTAGCTTGCATGGTTATTTTTATGGTCTCTCACTACTGTGCAACTTGGGACTACGTGAATTATTATTATTTGGATTAATAGTGAATACATTTTTTGAATAATGGTTAATTTTCAGTTGATATTATTCACATCACATCTGGCTTTATATCTCTTAAAATGTTCTGCCACCAAATGTATTTGTAAACGTAATTGTTTTGACAAGGAAGATACTATGAAATAGATTGTTTATTTCATAGCATATGTTAACAATCTAGGGTCTTTGACTCCTAGAATTTTTTCTTTTTTAATTTGGAAATTATTTTATTTTGTTGAGTATATGTGGGATTATGACATTCATTTGAAATATAATTAGGTTTGCTTGCTTATGAATTTAATTTTTTACTTGGGAAATTTTTAAATGTCCTAAAAACAGAGTAGTTTAATGAATCTCCCAATATCCATCTCTTGGTTTAAACAGTTAACATAAAACAGAGCAGGTATGTTTTCTTATATGAATTGTAGAGTTATGTATATTTATAAAATACCAATATGATACATGTAGTGATAAAATCTAAACAAAACATTTAATTATGATATCTGTTTATACTTTATTGTGGGTACATTAATTATACTTTTTACTTAGTCCATGTTAAGTTCTAATATTGTTTTTTATTTACAGAATATTTTCACAAACCACTCTCTGGATATAAATGTAAGATGGCTTGCTGTACTGTATTTTAAAAATGGAATTGATCGCTACTGGAGACGTGTAGCACCTCAGTAAGTTCCCTTATTTTCTTCCCCTACTCTTACCTCCAGAGTGTGATCCTTTCCAAATTCAAAAAGGTATAAGGGCAGGACTCGGTGACGCAGCTCGTAATTCCAGCACTTTGGGAGGCTGAGGCAAGTGGATTGCCTGAGCCTGTGGGTTCAAGACCAGCCCGGGCAACTTGGCGAGACCTTGTCTCTACAATAAATCTAAAATTAACCGGGCGAGGCAGCGTGAACCTGTGATTTCTGGCTACTTGGAATGCTGAGTTCTGGCTACTTGGAATGGATCACCAGTCCCAGCAGGTTGACTCTGGGGTGGCCGTGAGCATGCTACTGCACTCCAGCCTGGGCTACAGAGTGAGAGTCCACCTTAAAAAAAAAAAAAAAAAAGGGCTCTACCTCGCCTGGCTCCCAGTCCACTTGCCCTCAGCCGTCACGCCACGTCTCTCCCACTGCATTTTCCGCCTTCCGAAGGCTGGCGCCATGCTCCCGGGCCCGCGGCGTGGCAGAAGCTGGGCCTTGTGGGGCTGCTCGCAGACCCCGGGGGCCACTCGCCCGGGCAACCTGTACCACGAGGACTGCCTGCTCCGGGGCTTCCTGAGGAGGCACCTGCCTGCCGAGTTGGGACCAAGACTACATACTGCTGAATAGACAGACTGTAAAGCAGAGGGAAAAGTGAACAAAGCCAGAAGACCCTCATAAGGAAGAACAGGTCATTGCAGAAGAGAAATAAAAGCAACCCCACCTTCCCTCAAAAACAGAATTGAAGAAGGGAAGGGAAAGGGGGAGAGGGAGAAAAATCTACAGAAATGAAGAAAAACCAAAAGAACAGTATGGGTCTCTCCCAGATGCCTGGGAGAGCAGACACTGAGAAAACTGACTTTGGAATGCCAACAATGAAAAGCCCCCAGAATGAAGGGTCTCAAACTGCAAATGTAGATATCAAAACAATAATGGAGAGATTAAACAGAATTGAGGAGACACAAGAAGAAACTAGGAAGGAGCTGATATCTGAGATAACAGTAATAAAGAATACTGTGAATGAAATAAATAACAAACTGATAAGCATGGAAAACAGAATTACCCAAGCAGAAGAAAGAATCTCAGAGCTTGAGGACCAAAATATAGAAATAATCCAAACTCTTAAAAACACAGAAAATAAGCTCAAAAAGACAGAACAAAACCTTCAAGAGATGAGTGACTACCTCAAGAGGCCTAACCTAAGAGTAATCGCACTCCCTGAGGCAGAAAGAGAAACAGAGACCACATTAGAACAAACTTTCCATGAGATCATTCAAGAAAACTTCCCTTATCTAATCAGTGATGCAAAAATTCAAACACAAGAGATTCAGAGAACCCCTGCAAGACAACAAATGAGAAGACCAACTC